TATATATATATATATATATAATATTCAGTTTCGTTGCAATGTGAAATATTGGATTCAATTATACTTTTACCTCATTAGTTTTTATTCATTATTCATAATGTGATACGAATTAATCATCTATATATTATTATTGTAAAAAAAATTTACATTAACAATTAATTATATTTTTTAATTATGTCATATCACTGTTAAAAGTAAATATTTACAGTGACATAATACAATTAAGAGATATAATTGGTTGTCAATGTAAATTTTTTTTATACTAACAGTATATAAATGATTAACTCATATGATATAAGTAGAATATAATGTTTTGAAAGTTAAAAAAATGAAAAATTATTAGATTGAATATTCAGATCTTAGCTGGAAAAAAATTTGAAAATTTTAATCACGATTGATTAGATAATTCGTCACATGATAAATCATTCGGTCTAATGAACATGAACATCTCTGTATGCTTGTGTCATGTCATGTAAATTTTTAGAGTGGTCTTAATAGTCAAAGTTAAATAATATGTAAGATGTTGAATTTAAACTTTATTATTGTGATTGTAATAATTTTCATGAAAATAAAATAAAATAAAATGTATCATGTCATTCCACCGATAATAATGGGAGTCCGCTTACTATTTCTCACCTTATTATTAATCGGATGAAATTAAAACCTTTCACCTTTTTATTTTGGATGAAAAGTCTCATATAATTTTAATTCTTCAAATTTTCGCATAAAATCAGGCCAACTCAACGTATTTTTAGGTTTGAAGTAAATTTTAATGTGAGATGTTTTAAAATTAATAATAATATTTTTATGAAATAATAAAAATATTTTAAAGATGTCTTAAAAAAATAATTATATTTATATATATTTTAGAGATAGATCTTTTAAAATAAATTTTTAAAAATGTAAAAAAATGATTTTTAAATTATATATATTTTTAAAATATATAAATATTAATATAAAATATTTTTTCAAAAGAATTTAAAGTAAAGAATTTGTTAGTTTTATCCTTGGATCAGTCCTACATTAGACATTTTTTATTTTGTTGATTTAATTATAAAGAAAGAAAGAAAAGAACAAATATATCTAATATTGAAAATGAAAGTAATTGAATTCAATTTTAGTAAAGAGAAAATTTTATGATGTATTAAATATGTTTTTAATCTCTAAAATTTAAAATTGATCTTTTTAGTTTTTGTAATTTTAAAAAATCTTATTTTAATCCTTATATTTAAATTTTTTTAGGAACGTATTAAATATTATTGCATAAAATTTACCTACTAGTATTTTTATTGGTAAAAACATCATATTAAACCTAGTTAATGATGCATAACTGTTAAGTCTCAATTTTACCTCTTTTTGGATGAGACTTATTGAACGAATTCCACTCATCCTCTGAACCATTGCAATATAATTGTTCTCTTTTTGGTTCATTTTGTGTGCAGATATAACTAACCCAAATTTAGCTAACAATACCTTAATACACCTCATTTTTGTGCAGGTATTGAGCTAGAGAAGTGAGGATTGAAGATTCTTAGGATTGGGAATCCAAGAGGCTAAGGAGCAGAGAAGAAATTGCGCCGGGCGCAAGATGACTCGCGCCGGGCTTGAGAAGAACAGAGTCTGGAAGCCATGGCGCCGGGCGAGAGAATACACGCGCCGGGCGTGGTCGAGACAGAGAGTGCTTGAAACTCTCTGGAAGACATCGCGCCGGGCGTAAAAGGAAATTGCGCCGGGCTTACACTGAGGCAGAAAGTGCACAGAAGAGTCCGCGCCGGGCGCGAAGACTTACACGCCGGGCGCGAAACCCTAATCTGATCTCCCTGGCTCGTATTTGAAGCCATTTTCGGGGGAGAAACCCCCATTCTCACATTGGGCGCCTCCAGGAGCTGCGGAAGGGATTCCCAGGGCTTGGGATCGTCCGTGTGCGGATCTTTCCTTCGGTTCTTCACTTCCTCTTCCATCTCTATTTTGTATTTGCCCTCTTTGTTGAGTGGTTTCACCCATTTTGTGGGGTTAGATGTAGCCAACGTACTCTATTGTAATCCTTACGTTTTCAATGATATATATATTTGTTGTTTCATTCATTGTTGTGTTTGTTTCTTTGCTTAATGCTTGCTTTGGATTGATCACCCTTTGCATGATTTAAGGTTCCATTGAGTATTGGGAAATACCTTTGAAATTAGTTCTGGAACATATGCCTAGTGGAGATTGTATCTAGGGATAGAGCTTGACCCATTAGTAGTCTTAAACCCTAGCCCGTAATGCGGGTGTAGGTATTGGGTACTCAAGGGATTGATATTCAATATCCGCACCTAGGCTCTTGCTCTAAGGGATTAGGTTTGAGTAAACTATTGGGTTGACTAAGCAATGAATTCAACAAGAGATTAAGGATACATTAGTGTTACGTTTGGTGAAATCTGACCCCCACAACCTCACAATACCACAATACCATTCCTTACCTTTTCCACTCACAAAACAATATTTATTTACAGCTTTCATTCCAATAGTCACAACTTTGAATTCACTGCACAAACTATGAAATTGGAATTATTCTTTAGTCACGAATAGTCAATAAATGCTTATGTTACCTTCTAATCCCTGTGGATACGATATTTTTACTACTTGAACGGCCGGTATACTTGCCGTGTTTGAGACCGTTGATGGAATTAAACTGATTTACAATTATAACAAAAGTACTTCAACGGAAATCTCAACAAGTTTTTGGCGCCGTTGTCGGGGATTAGAATGGCAATTTAGTATTTTTAGCTATTTGTGACTTATTCTTTTGTTTTTATTGTTATTTTTATTTGTGTGCTGGAAATGAAGTGTTGGAACTAACCTGTGTACTCTAGTCTTCAGCTTTCTCTTGTATGCAAGATACTATGAACCAAATTGACCAGTCCTTTTGAGCCGTTGTTGAGCAATCATGAGGTTGAACACAGGGCAAAGGGGAATAAGAGCAACAGGAGGAGAAAGAGAATCAGAGCACTTCAAGTTGGTCATCGTCAGGCTCGGGACAGTAAACAAGCGCTTCCTGGGAGGCAACCCAGAGATCTGACTTTGTTTGTGTTTGTCATTTCATTCTGTTGTAGATTTCAGTGTTAATGTTTGTTATGCATAATTGTTTGGTGTTATATGTTGTTTTCTGTTATATGTTGTTTTGTGGTATAGGTTAGTTTGTGTAATATGTTGATTGTCAGAATCATGCTTGAGTGGGTAAATATAGGGTGCATCTTGTTTGGAATGTGAGGAATGAGGCAATTCCATGTCTAGGTGGAAATAAGGCCTGATCTTAAAGAAAACTTAGGTGAATTGACCTTGTAAGTAGTTACACGCCGGGCGTAACTCTTTTGCGCCCGACGTCGTATTCGATTTTTTGTATCTGGAACCACCAAGCCGGGCGCACTTAACTCACGCCCGACGCGATATCAGATTTTGGGCCTTGTTGAATTTTACTGATATGAAACCCGGCGCATCTGTGTTGCGCCCAGCGCAGGACATTCCTGACAGCCCATATTTACCTGTTTTTAATCATGTTTCTTTATGTTCTGTTGTGTGTTGTATGTTTGTGTGCTTTAGGTTGCATAGTCATGATCCATTTCCGTGTGCATGCATGTTGTGCTTAATTGTGGTCTAAGGATATTCTCCAATGTGTTATAGTTGCTTGGTCATCACTGTGTATACATTTTTGCTCTCACCATTCTTTTTCATGCTTATACTCCGCGACCACTCTTGGTCACTAGGACTTTCAGGCATATACTGGTTGGCCTGGGGACCAGGCTCCTAAGTTTGGGGGAGTGGAGTTGCTGATGCAGACGGAGCTGATGATGGTGGAGCAGCCCCTGAAGATGATGATGAAAAGAACAAATAGAGGGAAGTATAGGGAGACTAAATTACTTTAAATTTGTCTATTCAAAATTATTTTTTTGTCTTTTATTTTCAGTATTTAACTATTTTTATATATAGTCTTTTAGATGATTACTCTGTTGGTTCTTTTGTGAATAGTCTGCCTTAGCATGGTTTTTAATCTTGTTGATACTTGTTTTACGTGTGGTCGATTCTGGATTATAGTTTGCTTAATGTTTATGGTGTGTGTACCTTAGACATTTTCAAGTCATATTAGATCTTTAGTTCATGA